AGGCTCAAGATTTCACTAACACTTACATGCAAGTCTTTCCAGCTTCGACCCACTGTTCAGTTCCAAAGTCACATTTTTAGGTTTTTGTTATGGTAGCACTTTAAAAAAAAATTTATTTTTGGCTGCGCTAAGTCTTTCCTGCTGTGCAGGGGCTTTCTCTAGCTGTGGTAAGTAGGGGGCTACTCTTCGTTGTGGTGCGCAGGCTTCTCATTGCGGTGGCTTCTCTTGTTGCAGAGCACGGGCTCTAGGTACACGGGCTTCAGTAGTCGTGGCTCACAGGCACGGGCTCAGTAGTTGTGGCGTAGGGGCTTAGTTGCTCTGTGACATGCAGGGTCTTCCTGGACCAGGGCTCAAACCCGTGTCCCCTGCATTGGCAGGCAGATTCTTAACCACTGCACCACCAGGGAAGCCCAATGGTAGTACTTTTAAAAAATATATTTATTTTATTTACTTTTATTTTTGGCTGTGTCAGGTCTTCATTGTGGCATGCGGGATCTTCATTGTGGCATGCGGGATCTTTTTGTTGCGGCACGCGGGCTCTTCATTGCAGCATGTGGGCTTCTCTCTAGTTGTGGTGTGTGGGTTTTCTCTCTCTAGTTGAGGTGTGCAGGCTCAGTAGTTGTGGCGTGCGGGCTTAGTTGCCCCGTGGCATGTGGGATCTTAGTTCCTGACCAGGGATCAAACCCGTGTCCCTTGCATTGGAAGGTGGATTCTTTACCACTGGACCACCACGGAAGTCCCTGTTATGGTAGCACTTTTCATCACCACAATCTGTATAAGTTGTCTGTTGTTTCATAAAAAATTACCCCCACAACTTAATGGCTTAAAACAACAAACATTGAGTACTTTACAAGGTTTATCAGGGTCAGGAATTCAGGAGCAGCTTAGCTGGTTGGTTCTGGCTCAGGGTCTCTCCTGAGGCAGAGTCAAGCTGTTAGCTGGGGCTGCAGTCAGCTGAAGGCTTGTCTAGGGTGGGAGGATGCACTCCAAGATGGATCACTCACATGGCTGTTGGCAGGAAGCCTCTGTTCATCTCCACATGGCTGCCTGAGAATCCTCAGGCAGTTGGCTTCTTCCAGAGCAACTGATCCGAGACAGAAAGAAAAAGCAGGACGCTGCTTTCACCTGTATCGCCAAGACTCCGAAACCCAACACTATCACTTCTGCTTTATTGTATTATTTAGAAGCAAGTCACTAAGTCCAGCTCACACTCATGCAGAGGGGAATTAGGATCTACCTCTTGAAGGGAGCAATGTCAAAGAATATGTGGGCATTTTTAAACCAACACACCTATCCATACTCTTCTCTTTGCCCCCCCCCCCAATTTCAATGGGGATAGCAGTGTTATCACTTTTCTGATCTAGGGGCTCTTCCTCTATTTAAGATTTTGATCTTCTTCTCCCTGAATTTGTAGAGATTCAGCCACTACTAATTGTTCCTCCTGAATATTCAGTATCTCCCTCTCATCTTCATGCTTTCCATCATCATTAAACATTTTAAGGTCATTTATGTATATCCCCTTCTAGCTAATATCCTGTCTCTTTGCCTGGAATAGTTTTAAAACATAGCCCCAAATTTTCTGACATTCTTCCCCTTAAGAGATCGCAGCTATATCCCCTTCTTCTTGAATCTTGGTAGGCTTGTGACTACTTTAACCAATGGAATATGGCAAGTGAGGCAATGCAACTTCTGTAGCTGGGTATAAAAGACTGTGCAGTTCCTTCCTAGTTTTCTTGAAATACCCCCTCTTGGTATGCTCTCTTTTGGAGACACTCCATTTCGGAACCCAGCCAGCATGCTGCAAGCTCAAGTCACATGAAGAGGCCATGTTTAGGGCTCCAGATGACAGTCACAGCTGCGCCTAGTTTTCAAGTAGTCCCAGTGAAACAGAGCAGACCCTGTGGGGCTCTTGGACACAAAAGTCTTTCTGTGTCCCCCATTTCTTGATTACAGGAAATAGGCTTCATTCAGCCTCCATGATCTTCCCTGAGCTCCAATGGGCAGGTTCAAACAGTTGCTAATCAGGAAAGGGAGGGGATGCGGAGACAAGGGAGGAGCATCAAGAAACAACAGTACAGCCTTGGGGCAGGGTCCTGGTTCCTCCTCAAGGGCTATACCTAACAATGTCTTTTGAGTTGTTTTGAAGATACTAAAACCCCAGGAGGTGAAAAAAGTTAACTGTATGCTGCCCATAAGCACACAGACCCCACACAGGCTGATGGTGCTGACTCCCAGTTGCCTCACCACCAACCAATCAGAAGAATGTCCACAAGCTGATCATACCCTCCTCTTTGAACCATTACTGTGAAACTCCTCACTATGCCCTCCAGTTTGGGACACACAGTTTTGAGGGCATTATCCCTCTGAGGCCCCCTTTGCTTGGCAAAGCAATAAACCTATTCTCTTCTACTTCACCCAAAATTCTGTCTCCAAGATTCAATTCGGTACCAGGGTACAGAGGCTGAATTCTGGCTACACCAGCCTTGGTACTAGATCTGTCAGTGAAGAAACCTCCAGGTGATTCCAGTTCCCAGCAGTTCAAGTCACCCTCAGCCATTTGAGTCTTCCCAGCTGAGACTCCAGACATTGTGGAACAGAGACAAGCCATCTCTGCTGTGACTTGCCAAATTCTTGACCCATGTGTTAGAGGAACCACTGACTGAAACCGCCCTCTGGCCAGACAAGGTAGTAACCACTTGCTTGAGTTATCTTACAACAGGAGGTCCTGGTAAGGAATGTGGAACTAACAAGCTACCACCAACCAGAAGAATTCGGGAAAGGTCAAAAGGAGAGAGGAGATGCCAGTCCATATCTCCTACCAACCTCCCAGAATCCTTCTCGTTGGGATCCATCTTGGCTGAGTGATGCGTGCCACCAGGAAGGACCCTGAGTCAGAATGACTGGCCAGACACAACCCGGAAACTAACCCCATTACCATAAAACCTGAGACCGGGAGCCACGTGGTAGGGCTGTTCTCCTGGGTTCCCTTACCTGCTGCTCTCCACCTGGACGCCCCTTCCCAGTAAAGTCTCTTGCTTTGTCAGCACTTGTGTCTCCTCAGACAATTGATTTCCGAGTGTTAGACAAGAGCCCACTCTTGGGCCCTAAAAGGGGTCCACCTTCCTGCAACACATGGAATCCATGAGCATAACAAAATAATCTTTGATTTATGCCACTATGTTTGGGTTGGCTTTTTACACAGCAATTGTAATTGGAATATCACCTTTATAACCAAATCTCTCAAGAGTTGTCTATTCTCACCATCTCTATTTCTTCATCCCCACGTAGTCCGATAATCTGGATTTTGCTCCCTTCTTTCAAGCTTAATAATGTTCTCTGACGTCAATGATTTCCAAGTTGTTAGATCTAATAGACTTTTTCTCTTAGACTGCTAAGAGAAGTATTTAACACTATTGTCCAATTCTCCCTTCTTGAATTACTCTCTTCTAGTTTCTGTAACACCACACTATCCCACATCTCTTCCTTCTACTCTAGTCACTTTTTAGACTCATTTGCAATTTCACCTTCCTCTAGCCAGCCACTAGATGATGAAGCTGGTGATGCTTGGTTCTTAGTTTCTTCTCTTACTTCATATTCTCTTTTCTATCTATATTCATGGTTTTAATTCCCATCTATACAACATTGATGATAACATTTTACCTCCAACAATTTTATCTATTAAGCTTCAGGCCATATGTCCAAATGCCTTTTAACATTTTGTACTAGTTAGAGTTCTTAGTTGCACAGAGACTGGCCTTGACTGATCTAAACAGAAATGAATGTATTAAAAGTTCACAGAATCACAGGAAGAGCAAAGCACAGGGATTGGAGCCTATGCTAACCAGGCAGAAACAATAGCCAAGTCATACCACAGAACTGGTCTGGTGAGGACACCAACACTGCTCTCAGCAGAGCCATGGCAGCTGGTGCCACTGACAGCACTGGAACTGGACAGTGGATACTGCCACTAGCGGCACTGCCACTGTGGCACCTGGAGATACTATCTTGCTGCAACTATCACCACTGTCAGAAAAGATTCTTTGAGTTTCCTGTTTCTTACAGCTCCCTCTCCAAAGTCCCTGGTGGGTGCATCCGATTATCACCCAGTATAGATCCTGGCCATTGTCTTAGCCACAAGGGATTCTGGGAAAGCAAGTCACTGGCATTTCCAGATTCTGTTGCAGAAGGCAGATTCCACCTCGTATCAATTACTCATAACGTAAGGAATTCTCCAAATATATAAATGAGTTTCAGAAGCTAGAGGGGGAAGTTGAGGGAAAAAAATTCCCATTACTTCTTCCTTGAAACAAAGAGTTTATCACCCATCTGATGTGCTCTCTTGAGGAACAAGTTTGTAGAATTCTTTTGCATGTTTTAATTAATTAAGGCTAAAAAAACAAAACAAAACAAAAAAACCCTTTGGCTATAACAATGCCCAGGTCTTTCTGGGAGAATTCTCAATGCGGATGCTAGCAAAAGAGTTTGAGTACATCCAACACTCCTGATACCAAGTGGCTTTCAAACACGTTTTCAATTACCTGTTCAGAATGTGAGGACATGCAACTAAATAGGAAAACAATTCAAGAGTAATACAGCAGTGACATTAAGAGATAGTTGTGAATATTTTGTATCCTTCTAGTAGAGAGTATGATCCTCAAAACGCACAGCTAATTATGATCAAACCAAAGTAATAAACTTTGTCCAGTATAACTGAGTATGACATAAGAGAGAAATCCATCAAAAACTAAATGTTTTGAAAATCTGAGTCTTTTTTTCAGTTTTACTATATCACAGTACGTTTCAGTACCTGACCGCAACATAAGGAACTAGAAAACTAATTTATAGAATTGTTTCCATAGTAACAATGAAAATTCAGTGACTTAAGATTTTAGCAAATATATAACCTGACGTCAGAACCCTAAATATTAGGGACATAACTATATCAGAAGAAAGGCTTGATATACAATTAATTTTTGTATTTGAAAACACAAAACCTGCTATTCTTACTAGTTTTATATTTTCTCTGAACTTAACCAAGAGTTATTTTCTCTTATCTCAGCTCCTTGGGTTATCCTCTTCAAAGAAAATGCTTGTGACCTGTAGAGATTTAGAAAAGGTTATCCCCGACTAAAACGAGTGCTTCAATAAAGGGAAAAATTCTGTGCAGATCTCTTCCATTTGACGTTGCTAAACTTAAGTACAATAATGTCACATGTACTTACACAGTAATTGTGGGCACGCCTAAGTCCCTCCCTCTTTCCTAAACCAAATTCCCCAGATCCTAGAAATCCAGCCCTTCTGCCCTCCGGAGGCGCCTTTCCCAACGTAAAGTACAATTTAAAATTTAAGCTCCTGACTAAATAATGACTCTGTAGTCAACTGCTAGGGGATCCGGGCACCCCAGTGCCTCTGGAGGGTGCAGCAGGGTGTAGGCAAGGGCAGGGGAGTGGGCGAAGCTGCTGGTTGGTGCCTGAAATCTGTGCGTTGCCCCTTTAATTGTGTCCCCAGCCCTCGGGCGTTTCTGTCCAACGCCCACGTCAGCAAATACCTTTTGTTTCTCTCACGTTGGGGCTACTTGTTTTAGGGCGCAAAGGAACGGCTTCGAAAGGGGGTATTTCCCCTGCCGAGAACCGGGAATCTTACCCCGGCCCGCGCACGCGACCCGCCGGTGCGCCTCGGCCCGCGGTAAGTGGCTGCGCGCGGCGCGAGCGGAGGGCGGGCGGGGCGTCGGGGCAGCCCGGGACGGGCCCGCGAGCTTCGCTGCGGGCGGGGGCGCGGGCTAAGGCGCCGCGGGCTCTGGCACCGGGCGGCGGCAGCGGCGGGATGCGGCCCGGGTGCGGCGCCCCCCAGACGTCCCCGGGCCGGGAGAGCGGCGGGAGGCGCAGAGGCGAGCGGGCGCCATTTGCAGCCCCGGGCGCAGTGGCGGCGGTGCGCCGGCTCCGAGGGTCTGGAGACGGTCACAAAGGAGGCGCGGCCGGCCGGCGCAAAGGACCCGGCCTCGGGACGGCGGCCGGCGAGGAGAGGCGGCCGGCGGCGGGGCGCACCGGTTCCCGGACTGCGCGGTCGCCCCGCCTGCCCAGCCGCCCGGCCCTGCCCGCCTGCGCTCCCGGGAGGGGCAGCGGGACAATGGCCGCGCCGTCGCCGCCCGCGCCCGCCCGGCCGCCCCCGCCGAGCGCCGCGCCCGCCTGGCCGCCCGGCTCGGCTCGGCCGCGGCGCGGGGAAAGGCGGGAAGGCGCGCGGAGCCTCCTGGCGGCAGCGGCTGGAAGGCGGCGCGGGGCCGGTGCCGGGCGTGTCTGGAGCCGTCGGGCGCCGCGGACTCCCAGAGGGTCGGCGGCCGGCCGGGCTCGGGCTGCGCGGCGAGTGATGGATGGCCCGCGGGATGGGGCGGCCGAGTCTGGGGCTTCACCCCTTCGGCCCCGGGCGCTTCCTCGGGAAGGTGGCTGCCTGGGCAGTGGTCCGAGTTTCTCCGTACATCCTTCATCCTTTGGTTTTATATCGTGATGCGACAGATCCGAGCTTAGAATCCAAGGCAGACTTACTATACCTAACAAATATTGTGCTATAATTATTGTTTTATGACGGACCCACACAGACGCACCTCTTACCTATGCAGACGGCATCTTTTTTAAGTTAATAGCGGTTTGGCCCCTTCCCCTTCAAATGCGCTTATTTATTATTGATTGTGTCAGTAGCCAGGCTCTGTATCGTTCAAAGGCGTGTTTTTTTCTCCTCCCCTTTTTCTTTTTTCTCTTTTAAATTGAGATATCGTAGACATATAACATCGTGTTAGGTTTAGTCCAAGACGTGTTTGGAAGCGGTAGATTCTCACCTATTGGGCTTTTAAACTACCCACGTCAGTATTATTTGTTCTTAATAAACGTTTATATTTGCAGAACTTTAGTCAATGGAGTGCTTTCGCCTATATGAATTATTTCACATAAAACAACCACCCAGTCAGGCTGATGCTTTTTCCACTTTCTAGGTGAGGAAACGCATTAAGCATTTAAGCCTTAAGCCAGGTGACCGGTGGCAGCCTTCCAGCGCCCTTGCCTCCTGTTCTTGCTCTTTATTTCCTCCTAAAGTCACCTCCAGAGTCTTCCAGTAAGCAAGTCATATTGCTACCGTGCTCTAAAGACCTTAACTGATCTTTATCAGAAACGAGTCTAAAATCCTCAGCAGAAGAACCAAGGCTCAAACTTCTGTAATCTTCCCCAAGCCTCAGGTATGGTTGGGTTTGTGACACCCCTGGAACAAGAAGAGCCCTTCACTGATAACCGGGGATCAGATATCTTTATTCCTGGGAGCCCCTCTGGCCACTCAAGCAGTAAATGGGAAGTGAGAATCTAACCTGCCACCCTAGGCCAAATGGGCATGTTTGGGTTTGGCTGTAAAAGGTCAGAAGGAGGCATCATGAGGACCTAGGCTTCTTCCAAGTCATGTAAATTTCCAACCCCATGAAAGACGGCCCTCTGCCAGACTTTATCTCATGGCCTTGAAATCACCAGCTCTGCTGTTGATGGTTTGAGCCCAAAGTTTGTAAGATAGGGTAATACTTGATTCATCCTATATCATTTAAATCTTATTTGCTAGATAAAATGGAATTTACATCTAAGAGGCTCAACCTCTTCAGTGACTGAACTATATGTTTATAATATTTAAAGGATTTGGTGCAAGCTTTTTGATCCCCTTGAGGGAAGTTTTTGTCACTTCTTTGCTCAGAATTGGTCAGTGGCTCCCCATCTTCAGTGGCTCCCCATCTTACTCAGACCAAAAGCCAAAGGCCCCTAGGTAGTCTACAAAGTCCTACAGGAACTGGTCCCATGATGTCCTACCTGCCTCACAAGCTGTCCTTCCTTTCTGACTCCATCTCTCATTGCTCTCCCCAGCCCTCCTTGATGTTCCTACAATCCTCCTTGCCTGCTTCACCTCAGAGCCTTTGCACTTGCCGTCCCATCTGCCTGGAACACCCTTCCTCCAGGTGCCCAAATGACTCTCTCTCACCTCCTTTGGTCTTTACTTTAAATACCATCTTCTCATTGAGACTTTCCCAAATATGGTTTTGATTTTCTTAAATACTTTTATACTTAATTCTGAATCTCTCCAGTGTTAAAAGATATTTATCCATATAGTTACCATGCCAGTTTGCTGAAGTTCCTTATGGCCCAGAGATTTATGCTAAGAAGGCTAGTGAGATTTGTGTTGGTGACCCTGATGGGACACACTAAATTCTTAGTTAAAAACTATGTGCCTTGGGCTTCCCTGGTGGCGCAGTGGTTGAGAATCTGCCTGCCAATGCAGGGGACATGGGTTCAAGTCCTGGTCTGGGAAGATCCCACATGCCGCGGAGCAACTAGTCCCGTGAGCCACAATTACTGAGCCTGCACGGCGTCTGGAGCCTGTACTCTGCAGCAAGAGAGGCTGCAATAGTGAGAGGCCCGCGCACCGCGATGAGGAGTGGCCCCCACTTGCCACAACTAGAGAAAGCCCTAGCACAGAAACGAAGACCCAACACAGCCATAAATAAATAAATAAATATTTTTTTAAAAAAAGGCAAAATTCCTTTAAAAAAAAAACAATGTGCCTTTATAAAGATGGTCTTCTATCCCACAACCTTAATTGGAGTTACACTCATTACCTAAATCTTTCGTCTGCTTGTGGAAATTCATGTCTTTTCCTTCTGTTCCAAGGACCTTTGCACTTAATGGTTTCTAAAATATGTATTGTCTTTTTCACCCACCTTTAAAGATCTTTGAACTTGATGGGAATCATTAATTCTTTAATATTCTTAGAACTATTATAGATATAAACTCTTATAGATATTTTAAATGTTTCAAATTGAATTTGGACTGTCTACATGAACTAGTACAACAACTTGCTGTTTCAACTTATAAGGTCAATCTACTGAAAAGAAAATTTGAAACATATTACCCGTTTCCATGACTTAATCACTTTCTTTTTTTTTGTGGTACGTGGGCCTGTCACTGTTGTGGCCTCTCCCGTTGCGGAGCACAGGCTCCGGACGCACAGGCTCAGCGGCCATGGCTCACAGGCCTAGCCGCTCCGCGGCATGTGGGATCTTCCCAGACCGGGGCACGAACCCGTGTCCCCTGCATCGGCAGGCGGACTCTCAACCAGTGCGCCATTAGGGAAGCCCCTTAACCACATATTTTGAGAATAACTTAAACCTTTCCTGGTGACTCAAGAGTACAATTATGAATGCAGGTTATGTTAATGCTTTGTAGTATTATGAAGTTGTAACTGATCCCAATTTATAGGACAATTCCTATTTTCTTGCAAAGGTTCCTGTTATCACTTCTGTTATTCACTGTCCTCTGCCTTAATTTAGTTCCTCTCCATTTCTTGCTTTGACAACTGCATCAAGCCTTTAAAATGATCTCGCTGGCCCTGCCTCTCCCACTGTTTCTCTTCCTCCATGCTGTCTCAGGTTTTCTTCTGGGTATACAAATTGGATCATCATAACAATAATACCTTATATTTATTGAGCCCTAACTGCATGCTAGGTATTGTGCTAGGCATTTTGCATACATTATGGTCAGAAGAAAAGTGCGAGACTTATGAGTGCTTTGGTTTGGGGTCAGTCAGCCTGAATTCCAATCTCTGTTCAGCTGCTCGTTGCGCAGTCTTGGAGAAGATTTTCTTTTCATTTCTCTGTGCCTCCAATTCTTGATCTATGCAATGTGAATCACAGCAGCAGTTACTTCATGAGGCTATTGTGAGGACTGAAATAAGATAATGAGTGTAAAATGCTTAGTACTGTGCCTAGTAAACATTCAAATATTAGCTATTTAGTTTTATTAAGATATAACATATACCATAAAATTCATCCTTTGAAAGTGTACAATTCAGTGCTTTTTAGTGTATTCACAGAGTTGTGCAACCATCACTACCCTCTAATTATAGAACACTTTCACCACTGCATAAAGAAACTCCATATCCATTAATAGTCATTCCCCATTCCTGCATCTCCCTAACCCCCGACAACCACTAACCTACTGTCTGTCTGTTTCATCTGCCGATTCTGGATATTTCATATAAATGAAATCATAAAATATATGGACTTTAGTGACTTGCTTCTTTCACTTAGCTTGAGGTTTTTAAGGTTCATCCATGTTGTAGCAGGTAGTCAGTTCTTCTTTCCTTTTTATGGCTGAATAACATTCCATTGTATAGATCTACCACATTTTGTTTATCCATTTTCCCAAATGTTGATGGACATTTGGGTTGTTTCCACTCTTTCACTATTATGAATAATGCTGCTCTAAACATTTGTATACAAGTTTCTATGGAGACCTATTTTCATTTCTCTTGGACATATACCTAGGAGTGGAATTGCAGAGTCCTTTGGTAACTCTGTGTTTAATCATTTAGGAACTGCCAGACTGTTTTCCAAAATGGGTGTACCATTTTACATTCCAACCAGCAGTACATGAAGGTTCTGATTTCTCGACATCGTGGCCAACACTTGTTATTTTCGTGTGTGTGTGTGTGTGTGTGTGTGTGTTGTAGTCATCCTAGCGGGTGTGAAGTCGTATCTCATTATGATTTTTACTTGCATTTCCCTAATGACTACTGAGGCTAAACATATTTTCATGTGCTTATTGCTGTTTGTCTTAATTTATTTCTTATTGCTGTTAATCTTATTTATCTTAGCTATTATCTTATGT